GCAAGGAGAAAAAGCAAAACACATTTCTCAAATAAAGAATCTGAACCTTTTCTCTTTGGCCATGTTGCTGGACTCTCAGAGGAAAATTCTCACAGAGGAATATAGAAACCATTCAAGTATTTCAAAAAACAGTCCATGTTTACATTTATGGGAAGAGTGGAATAAGAGGATAAAAAATGATCTTAGGTTCTGGTCTGACTAGGTATTGCTTGCCTAGTCTTTTTCAATTCAGTTTTTAATTTTTCCATGTATTATACAGAAAAATGGCGAAGTGAAACATAACAGATGTATATACAGTTATTCCTTATTTATCATTGAATGCAACAGTTGTCAAGGAGGTGGGAGCTATTCACCTCCTTACTATTAAGGATCTGTATAAAAGGTGCATAGTTAACATTGAAGCACTGAATTTATTTAATTTGATTTGATTTAATGAACATAAGTAGCCCATGTCAGTGAAATGAAAAGGGAAAAAATGGCCCCGAAAAAGAGACACAACCAATGAAAAGTAACAGAATGAAAAGGTGCATGAAATTATGCTAAGATAATATTTTTTTTATAATTCCTACTGATCTAAAACAAGAATGAAGGTTGATCTAAAGCAACATTTTAGTAATTCAAAGAGAATCATGTGTCTGAGAACTGTCTATCTGCCCAGATCTCAAAACATGAGAAATGACCTCATGGTACTCACCCAGCATCAAATCCATCCTGACAGCTGGAACAAAAACAAAAGGGCATAAATACTTTCAAAGTTAACCACAGAGGAGGAAGTGGCGACAGACTCTCATGAGAATGTCAATGTTATGACTATGTTCATGAGATATTTGTGTTAGCAGGCCCCGTTTGGGGAAGAAAAATGAAATCTAAAAGATCAATGGATGTATTTTAAATACTTGTTGTATTGGAAACTATTACTAATTCCTTATTGTGTGCCTTGTTTTTTTCTGTAGGGTCTGTTTGTGACTTTACTGAACAGATGTTTCCTGCTAACTATTTTTTTTAAGTGGCTGCCGAGTTTCAGATATTGTTTTTCTATTTCTTTTCTTTTATGGATTTTGAGGTTTTAAATTGCTGCTCACAAATTACTCCAAAGTTTAAAGGTGTAAATTTGTCTTGTTGGTTTTGTAAGGTGAATCCAACTGAGATGTTTTTTTCATGTGTTTGAAAAAAACAATTTTTCTGTATTTGAAAAAAAAGTTTGTGTTTGTAAAAGAAAGAAAAACAATGCGGTGAAGTCAAATGTATAATTTGAATTCATGAAATTACTTGAGAACTGTTACCTTGCTGTCAATAAAACACAGGGATATGGACACAATCAGACTAACAAACTGAGCATATTTGCTTAAACACATGTATGACAGATAGATTAAAGGACCCATGTACCTTAAACCTATTGTTATTCAGAAACGTGTTTGGGCATACATACTTTGCAAAAATACCAATTAAAACTTTTTCACATTTTGTCATGTTACAATCGCAGACTTCATTGTATTTTATTAAGATTGTATGTGATACACAAGATGAAGTCGAACTTAATGGTGAACAGGAAGAAAAAAATAATAATTGACTTTAAATTGTTTTACTAACAAAAATCTGGAAAAAAAAACAAGTCTTGCATTTGTATATAACTTATCTAAATTGTTTTTAGCAGCTGCGAACATTGTCTCAAAAACAGTCCACAAGTAGGAAAGGACAAAATATTAGGGACACTAGATGCTAAAAAGGAAGAAAAAAACTATTTTTGTTGTGTTGTGCATTGGTCAATGGATTCTTTTTGTATCCAAAGGACAGAGTTCAAACTCCCAGTTATAAATATTAAACGTTAGAAAATTGTTCAATCTGCGTCCTCAAGTGTCAGAGTTTTTAGCATGCCCATTTCTTACTTTTATATTCATGAGGGAAATTTTGCTGAACACTGAAGATGAAACAGAGTTGAGCTCAGTTTTTGTGGAGATATTTGGATTTCTAAAAAAAACCAAAAAACAACAAAAAAAAAAACAGATATACGACAGTTTTACAGCTTCCCTTTTGTAGTCTGACTTCAGAAGTGGTGCTGGATTTATGAAACATTAAAGATAAGACAAGTGAGTTGTAAGTTTGGATACTCACAGTCACTGTTGCTATAGGGTTCGTCTGTCCATCTGTTTGTTCGTCCAGCTTTCCAGTTAAATACTTAAATGGCCACTGGCCAACCGGTCCTGGTATCCCGAGATTAATAGGGGGGAGGCAAAATACACCCTGGACAGTCCATCGCAGTGCAACAAAGAAAAAACATACACACATCTGAGTTCAGTCAATTTTATTTTTATACCACATTTCAGCAACAAGGCAGTTAAAAGTGCTTTACACAATGGAAACATAACGTAGTAATACCACCTCCAAGAGTAACTATCTTTCAATATATCTCAATTAGCACTTTGAAATGCATTGCTGCTGAAATGTGCTATACAAATAAAATTTGATTGATTGATTGAATTATCAATGTCAATCAATGTCATAGTTCTTACTAATTAAAGGGAATTTTATACAAGTGGGCTTTTAGCCTTGATTTTGTTCCAGATTTTTGATGCATAAAACCTACCTAAAGCAATTTGAAAAGGCCAATTGACTTAATATGCAAGCTGTTGAATTGTGGCAGGAAACTGGAACACCTGGAGTAAACTCACACAAGCAATCTCCAGACAGAAAACCCCCAGGCTGGTATATATCACAAGGCCCCTCTTGCTGCAAGGAGACTGTGCAAACAACTTTTCTATAATTCGGCTTCACCTGAACTCTTGGGATAATCAGAGTGTTGCCATTAATGACTTTTTTATGAAATAAAACAACTGTCGTTGAACATTATTGGGTGACACGGTTGAAAAAGAAGGTTGAGAAAATAATCAAATCCAACAAACTAGGCTTTTAAGTAGACATATAAGCTTTTGCCACAGATGGATTTAATCTCTACAAAGCACTTCATGAATTCATTCACATCCCTCTTCAAAAGAAACTATTGATGGATTGTGGAGGTTGAAAACTACACACTCACATTACCCTGCACAATCTTCAAAAGTGTTGAAGATAATCAGGAAAAAGTATTGTTTAGTACTGCGTGATATAACGATTGTTCTAAATGAAATACACTACATTCTTGTTACATGTAATTTTGCAGTGTTACCTTATGTGCATTTTAAGTTGTACACAAAAAAAGGAGCAGATTTTGCCCTTTCTTATCTAAGCTAATAGCAGGTGATGTTTGTGCTTCTGTGGGCTAAAAGTAAATGTATTGAAGAATAATAATAAGCAGTGTATGACGATATCTGTGGTTAGCATCAGAAATACTGGACAACAACAAAACAATTTCAGCTTTAAAACCTCAACACTGAGTTTTTTTTTTAATTATTATTATTTTAGCCAGTTTTTCAGATATTTGAGTCATCAGAGGGGCTTTCTGTGTGTGGTGGTTGATTCAAACTGCTCCACAAACCCACTCACTCTCTTCTGGAGTGAGGCTCAAGCTTCTTATCTGTTTCTCACTCTCCTACTCTGCACAGGTAAATCTCACTCCAAATAAGGAAATCGCCTGCACTCACAGCAAAACACTTCTGTTTGTGATTTGTGGTTTTTGTTGATGTGTAGCTGGATGTTTACTAGTTTGCTGTTTATTTTTCGGGTTTGCAGCTGGAGACTGTAGTATTGGGAAGGAAATAATGAAAAGAAATAATTTATCCCCACACTTCCGCTCAAAAAGTGATTTAACATAAAGTGAGACTCATGTTATGTGGATTTGCTACACAGAGTGAAATATAATTTTGAAAATTTGGTGATTGTGATTTGAGGTTATTATACTTTTTTCTACAATTTGTCTTATTATTGTTGCATTTTATGTTTTGTAAGGATCTCCTTTAAAATGAGATGCTACATCTCAAGGGATTGTCCTTGAAATAAAAAGCAGTTAAAGTAGACACTCAGAAAATAAAAACATTATGTGACTAAATTTTTCTTTTATATTGAATAGTCAACCTACAAATTCACTGGGATGACTGCTGATTGAGTATCAGTGTAGCTGACAGCCATAAACAACCTAGATAAGTAGGCTCAGACAAAAATGTAATTGAAAATGACTTTTCAGTGTGCAAGCATATGAATGGAAAGTTGGGCGAAAGGAAAAAAGTATAGCAGATAAAGGTTTATTTGAAATAAATTAACATTTAAATATACAAATGTCTTGTAATGCATCATAAGATTATACATTTCTAATCAATACATTAGAAGATGCAGTTCCACTAGGAGTTTTCTGCCAGAGTTAATTTTGATGGCATTATAACATATATTTTTGCACAAACAAACTTTTCAATAATAATCACATTTTTAAAATAAATCTGTGCACTTTCTTTCTGTGATGTCATAAAGTGCTAATCTTGCTGGCTGTGGGCATGCAGCCATCGCTATATTTGAACTGTTTGTTTGACAACACAAGGAAGAATTCAAGTTATTTTCATTGAATTCATTTTCCATACGATCAATGTGTTTCAATAGAATAGCAATATGAAAACAGCTGGTTAAAATGAGCAAAAAGATCCAAACATCCTAAGCACCGATGGTTAACTGCAAATGGCGCATAGCCATCTCGGCTTGATTTGAAAGCTCTTCCGATGTTCTCCTAACATAACTCCTTTAAATGTCTTACTGAAAACCTGCAATAACACAGAAGATGAAGAAAGACAAATACAAATAAATAGATACATTCAAATTATTGAATTGCTTTGGTGGCGTTACTGGACAAATTGCTTTTCTGACTTAAAGTTGTTCACACTTTTTTATTTTTTATTTTTATCTTCACTGTTTAAATCACTGATCCCATCCGCACTCCCCTCCTCCCAACACCCTATCCCCCCGGTCTCTCTTCAAGCACCGGTGAAAAGTTGCAGGAGCCGCAACGAGTGTGTCTTTAAGTGCATGCGTGGAGTTCTGCTGCACCGGGTGGCTGATAGGAGGGGTTGGAGTGAGTGACGCTGGCTGCGCCTTGATGCTGAGCGGAGCGCTCACCTGCAGACGAGAAGAGCCGGAGAAAACTCGGGACAGAGCTGCAGCACACACTCACGGAGCGCAGGGGGAAACGCAGCGAACAGTCTGACCAAAGTGGGAGAGGAAATTAAACAATCACCGAAGAAGAACCGCGGAGCGACCCTCTTTTCTTTTCTCTCTCTCCTGTTCCTTGTCCAGGCAGCTTTGACTCGCTTTTACTCGTCACAATGAGGACCGACTTCGCAGTGGTCCTGACAGCAGCTCTTCTTTTTGATACAATTTGGGTGAGATGTCTCTCTTCTTGTTTTCAAAAGCTTTTGATAAATAATATTAAAGTCACCCAGGCAGAGAGAGCCGCTGCGGCGTGCTGCTGCAACACGAGCCGCGCGTGCTCCTTATTTTCCTACAAGTAGGCTAAGCTAATTGGTTCCCTAATGAATTTCCAACATATAACAACAAATAAAAGTGAGACCTAACAAGTCGGTCCCGTTTGTTCTGGCAGGCAGAATTGGAGCCGTTTCAGCGCTGCCGAGCAGCAGTACCCCACACAAGTTAAATTACGCACCATCTATTCACCAGGGTAATGGCTTCTTTACCAAAGTAATTTAGTCATCTTATCCAATTTTGATTTAGCCGTCTTCCATGGCAATGCAATCTCCTGTATAAAGTTAAACTTAGAAGTTTGTTTCTTGGTATTTAATCAATAAAACCCAAATGAAGTCTCTGCCGGTGGGCTTTTTCCCTCACGGCGCTCCAAGTGGCCCCTCTTCCTCTCCCTGCTGCAGTTTCAACACTGTTACTTACTCTCTGGTTTATAGCTCAGTATATTTGAATCTTGCATTGCTATAAATCGAAATTAGAAATTGCAATGCTATAATGCCTTTAATATGCACCTAACGAGCTTTTTGTATTGTTCTGCAAACATGCGCGCCTGTATGTGTGTGTGTGTGTGTGTGTGTGTGTGTGTGTGTGTGTGTGTGTGGACACATTGGCTGCTGGAGTGGGTCAGATCATTAAATTTAACCATCACTAAGCAATAAATCTCTGGTGTAAACTTGTGTGCAGACAGTTTGATTAGTATATAAAGTGCACACACCAACACACGTACACTCATGCAGTGCGCAGCTCCCCATTCAACTAGAATAAGAGGGAGAAAATGATGCTACATTCATGCTGCTTGGTCTGCTGTGCATGAGTCTCACTTAACCCTCAACATCACACCTAACCCAGAGATGCAGCAATTAATGGACCAAGATCAGAACAGATCAATATTTCCCTGATCGACTGTGATCTCCGTTTGGACGGTCAAAGACTGAAACATCAGATTTATTTGATACCTATTGTTAAATGAGTAAAAAATTTTGAACTCGCACTGTTTTCGGTGCATAAATGTAACAACTGATATATATATTTGAGTTAAATAAAAATTTGATGAGTGGTAATAATTTTCTAATTTCTTTCCTGTTGGATTTAAAGCTGCCACCTCTATCAAAGAATCTTCGGTAAATTGCTTTCATCTTTTATGTGCTAAAGCTCTCAGAATAAAAAATCAGAAGTGTTCCGAATCGGAGAATAGACTTTTAAAGAAAAATCAATGTTGGCTGTGCAACCCTAATCTTCCTCTATACAGTCGACAGTTTACTTTAAGGAACAAAGTGAAATAGCACATTATACCACAAGCTACAAACTTTAAGGGACAGATCAATCAGTCGCATGCCTACCCTTCACAGAAGCAAAAAATAACAAAAAACAGTTGCAAAACTTGCTGATTATCTTTCTGCTTGCTGTTTTATTTGTTGCATTCTCCCACGGCACACAGTCTACAGGAGAATGTTTATTGATGTCTTATGCTGTATTTTGTCGTCTTTCCAGAGGAATAATGGGGAGCACGCCTCCCAAGGTCCCTGTCAACCTGGCTTCTCGCAAAGCTTCTACTCCGTCCAGATATCGAGGGATGTACTGCAAGGCCAGGGCATACTTAAAGGTAAGAATCTTAATTGGGCTGTCAGGTGGTTTACATTTTGTCGAGACTATTTACAGTCGAGTAAAAACACCCTATCCTTTAGATAAAACAGCAGGTACCCTGTTTTACTGCTAGTTTGCATTTACAACAGTATTTAAGTAACACCTGTGGTAAAGTTAAGCAAAAACTGTATCATAGCAGAAACATGGACAATTTCCTGAGGCTGAACACAATGTTCATAATCCAGTGTGTTCTGTAGGAGCAGCTGTTTGTTCACTCAAGGTTACCCAGTAACTATTTTCATTTGTTTACTATCAGAATGTGAAAAATACTTAACTGTTTGTTTCTCTCCAAGTGAATTAGTTCAACTTTTTTTCGATGTGTTTCTTTTGTTTTTCTTTTTAGCACTACTCATCTTTTTCCACTTCAATGATTTTTTGTCATCATTCATGTTTCACTTATTGTGACCTTCACACTACATTATCTTACCAAGTTTTATGCGAATTGCTTCAATTACACAACGAGCCGAGCAAGTTTGAGGGCCCGATAGTGCAGGAAATGGAATCGACATCCTGTGTCTAATCTGGCTGTGCTCCTGCCAATGTGAGCTAATTGCAATTCTCTATTGATCCAAATGGTTTTTTTTTTTCTCTCATAGCTCAAGCTGCATTGTTTTGCTGTGGGCAACAATGGCTCTTTTTTGTGTCTTCTTTGTCTCCGGCAGCTGCACGGTTTATATTTCTCATTCTCCTTAGCTGTGAGAGACTTGGCAGAGATTCATCTGTTGAGACTATGTCCTGACTTTGCCCATGCACACACCCACGCCCACAGACAAAGGCACATGCACAAACACACACACGCAGACACGCTGAATATTTTTTCCATAGCCAGGCTGTACAGTCAGTCTCAGTGAATTGCAATATATTTTTGTATTACTTTATTGAATGTGTCCATACACGTGTTTGTTTGTTGTGATATTATAGTTGTGGAGGTATCATCGCTTATTTTAGTGTTTCATTAACTTCAGCTTATTGCATCCTGGCTGGGCGTTGGATTGGATGTGGGATGTTGTCACTTGCAGTGGGCTTGCTCTAAGTGCGGCAGTGATGTCTTCAGCCCAGCAGGGGGTGTCAACACAATCACAAATAGTCAGAGAATGAGCCATCCCTGCTGCACAGGAGTCGTTTATTCCAGCAAGCATTATTTATCTAGTTTGGTCTCCGGGAGATGAAATTGTCACACTATCTGCCTTCACACATAAACTAATCTTTGGTAGGCCTAACATGCTTATTTTCAGGTTCCTGTGTGTAGCTGCACAGAAAGTATAGAGTGCAAGTCACACTAAAGGCAGTTTCAAGTCTAAACCTCTTGTGAATTGTAGAATATTGTTTTACAAAAGTATTTATCTCTCTATATGTTGTAACAGAATGCCAAAAAGAAAGATTATTTGGGGCATTTCAACACAAAGTAACGCTTAAATCTGCAGCTGAAGAAAACAGATAAAAAAATTATGTTTTCCCAAGGTTTTACAGATAAAATAAAAGTGTGGCATGTATTTGTTCTCATCCCTCCAAATCAATAATTTGCAGAACTTTTGGGGAATGTGTCTTCCAGATTTATATAGATACCAACACGTTTGTCCACTCTTTGCAAAAATATCTCAGCTCCAAGTAAATTGAATGGAGAAATTTTGCCACAAATTCCCATTAGAATTTAGGTCTAGCATCTGACACACAGTTGACAGATTCTTCCACATGTACTCTGAATATGGCTTAACTGATTGATGTCATCCCTTCCCCAGCTGTCAGTTTATTGAACTGCCATGTCTTGGTAGATATGCTGCTGGGCCACATTCTCTCCATGTTTGGAGGATGTCTTAAACACAGATCTGTGAGATGTTCAAAGCCTGGAAAATTGTTTTATAACTTAACTCTACTTTAAACTCATTCACAAATTTATCCCTGACCTGAATGCAGTGTTCCTCTGTCTTCATGATGTTTTTTTTGTTTTTGCAAATGTTTGCACTGTTGTTTTGAAAATACTTAAATATTACTGACAATGTCCCGTTACATCACGACTAAAACAGATTTTTTTGTTTAGCATTTTTCATTTGTTTTGTTCTTTCTGCTTGAAAAGTTCCATTCCTCGCAGCCTCACAGCTGCACTGTCATCTTCATTTGTGTCTGAGAGCACAGATGCTGTGGACACGCACCTAAACATTCAGTCTATGAAATAGCCAGACTTTCTTTGTGATTTACAGAGATTAGCCATTTTGATTCATACACGAGAGGGGTGTCACTGTAGTAAAGCAGGAAGTGGCTCTGCAAAGGCTTTAATAATAACATTGTTTAACCCAAAACCGTCAGATGAGGGAAGGACTGATGACACCCCACTGCAAACATAAATATATTCATGTTAGCCATAAGGGGTAGTAATGGAAAGGACAGAACTAGGACCTTGGTCATGATGGGTAGCTTGGCCTGGTCTAGACACGAGGTCAGCAGGAAGGAGGACAGTGTAATGTTTCACTCTGATATGCCTAATTTACCTAAAAACAGAAAAATACCGGCTACCTTCGACAAATACCATAAGTCTACAGAGCCATTGTTGCAAAGTCAAATTTCCATGTACTGTATTTTTTTTCTCTAAAAGAACTGCTTCCCCCTTTCATTGTTGTGTTTTATCTTCTATTTCTATGCTGCTCTACTCTGCTCACTGATCATTCACAAGGTCAACTCCCTAATGAGCAATTTTCAAAAGTTTCTCACAATGCTGTTTTGTATTAATCCTCTTTCAAGTGAACAATAGTGCTAATTTAGACTAGTCTAAAAAAGTTTTTCATGAACTGTCTGGCACCTTTTCAAAAGTGCTCAAAAACTCTTCACTCTTCAATGGAGCCTGTTAAATGGAGCTTGAGTTATCTATTCAAATAGTCTGTGCTGTTTAAATATACAGGTTCAGATCAAGAAACTAGAAAAAATGTCTTTATTTCAGATATTCTACTCAATGGTTAAATATGGAATCATTACAAGTAGGATATTACATTACACAAAGTTTCTTCAAATTGTTCATATTTCCTGTTAAATATAGATTTTTTAAAATAATTGTATAGAGTTTTACTGTGGTTCATCTATAGCCTACACAATCGTAAAACAGACAACTGTATTGAGATGAAATTAAGAGAAAGTTAAGTGGAAGGAAAAACTCTGGTAGAAAGGATTTACAAGCAATGTCAAATAACAGCCTTTAAGAAATTATGAAGCCAAACCTATTCTTGAGTTTGTAGGAGATTTACAATGTTAATGCAGCATGGCTGTAGTCAGTGTTTAAAGAGCCACTGACTCTTCAGACGTGGCTGGACTTCATATCCCTTTTTAGTTTAATTTTTATTTTTTGTACCAAACACAATTCCGGAAACATCTTAGCTTAGGAGAAGAAAGTAACAAGTCTTCTTTTCTGATTGAATACATTTTTATATTTGAATTGGGAATCAAAATTAACTGAAGAAAATGTTTGAAATACAGTATTATACTCTGTATTTAATGAATTATTAATGATCACAAAAATACTGGTTTTATAATACTCTATAGAGTGTTCATAAGAAAACTCAAGTCAGATGAGATTACAAACTGAAATTATTATTTGCATTTTCATAGAGTGAACAATTCATGTTAAAGATAACCTAGAAGACTCCTTCTGCTCTTCATCCTTTAGCACAGCCAGTAGACATCATCTCTAAAATATTTTTTATTAGATTACTTGTAGCCTGCTTTTGCATAAAATTACATTTTGCTTCATTTCAGAATTGTTTTTTGCTATTGTTGCCAAGTACAGATTATTAATCTGCAGTGTTTATAGGGAATTTTAATGTCTTCTTACAGCATTTCATTACTCTTCAAGAGAAATTACTTTTATTTAAAATTACTGGGGAACAACAGAGAAACAGCTAAAAGCAAAGTTGTACATTACACTAAGCAGCTTGGGCAGGTTGTTCACTTCTACGATCAGCTTCAGGGGCTCCTCCTTTCAAAAAACCCTCAATGACACATTTCTTATCTAGCCTTCAGGTAAACAACAAATTCTTCAACTTAGCTTTGTAATAGATTTTAAGCATGAGGAAGCTTTAGTGCAAATCTTTGTCTGTTGGTTGGTCATAATGGTAATGGTCGGGATCTTTCAAACAAGCAACACTTATTCAGTCTTTTTTATCTGTTTTTTTTTTTTTTTAGATCATAGCATTTCTACTTTGATTGTTGCCATTGTGTAAGAATGAACCTTACTTTGAAGTGGAAGTAAACTTTTCCTCCTAACTCAGATTTATGAGCAGCAACAATTGATTGTTTAAATAAACAGCTGATGTCTCCTCCTCTAAGTGTTGTTTTAACGACTCTGAAAACCCCAGCAACCCAAAGTGCCCCAGAGAAGCACATACTTGTTGAAGATCGCCTTCCTGAGAGCTTTTTATTTAGCTGATGCTTAACTTCCCAAATCATGTGTGAGCTGTTGGATGTATTTTGCTTTTAACGCATTACTTCTACATTTGGGCCAGGCTTGAATGCTTTTGCCCGTCTCTGTTTGTATGTTTCTTAGAAACCTGAAGGGATCAGCTGTTGTTTTTGTTCCGTTGTTTATAACTGGAGAATTGAAATGGACAGAGTTTTACAATGATGGTACGAATGTTTGTCACTGCCAACATCAGACATATTTTATCCCTCCAGACCAGATAAAGCTCCTTTAATATAAATAAACACTATATTAAAAGGACCCAAATTCTTCTGTTCAACTGCAGGTTGAACAGAAGAAGTGCACCGGAATACTCCTGAACACCTGCCACACTCAGTTCTATGTATTCAGGTCTAATATCACATTATTGATTGTCTAAACAATTATACACAACTTTTCATGTTAAAAATAATAAAAAAATAATTTTGTTTGTTTGAAGTCTACATCATATGCCACAGTTGTTTCCAAAACACCATACAAACAGAGCTACTTCATGTGTTGTGTGCTTGTATTACTTT